TACAGAAATCAAATCGACCATATTCTGATCTATTTAAAATGGAAAAGCTGGCTACAAGATGGTAGGAGCCTATGAGAAAAAGATGTTAGACCATAGCACATTCTGGTTAGGGCCAAAATAAAGATGAATTAACCAGATACAAAAGGTACAATGATACAAAGACTAAAAATTAACCGATAATCAGCGCCCAAAAATGAGAAAACAGTAGAGGAAATATAAAAGAACTTTAATGATATAGTGTTAGCAACTGCAAACGAAACAATTGAGATGAAAAAAAAGAGATAGCAGAAAATGAATAACCCAAAAACATTACAACTCATAAAAGAAAGAAAGAAAATCAAAGAAGAAATGTGCTAGAACAAAAGGAAGAAACCCAAGAAGTTAAAGTGCTAGAAAGAAAATAAAAAAAAGTATAGCAATTAAAATGCAAGCCAGGAAAGATAACAGAATTTCCGTAAATAATATGCTAAAAATAACAAAAACAGCTGCGCAAAAAATGATCTGAGAATAGAATACGCCATCATGCGAAATTTGAAAGAAGAAAACACCAAGTTTTCTTCTTTCTTATCTCACCAAGTTGCTATCATGCCAGTTGCCAGTTGCTATCATCAAGTCCTCGTAGACACTTGGTCTCAGGACCAGCAACTTCATGTGGAGTCGTACGTTGCCATGTTACCAAATCCACTGGTAACTTTAACATCTTAATATATAAAATCAAATTATGTAAACTAAATTTAAACATACAACTTTTTACAGATTTTTACCTAGATATTTAGTGGCTCAATACATGTACACCTAGACACTGATGATGGAAGATGGATTCCGAAAACTTTTTGTTGTTGTGGTATAGCTCGATTGAGTTTTTAAATTATATGCGTTTTATAAAGGATTTTATTAATTTTTTTTAAATAGTGGTGGTTAGATTGACCATATGTCTGTTAAAGTGTACCGCTTTTGAGACATGGTAAACATATATTTAACTTTTTATTTTCAAATGAAAATACTTATATTAAAATATATGTAATATGTAATAAACATAAAATAATTGTGAGAAATATTTTAATTTGTTTATGCAGGCAGTCCTAATGATCATTAGGCAAATGTGCTTAGTGTGTTTAGGATTTTTGTAAGCGGTTATATTATATTTTACCTCACAAGCACAGCAAAACAGTTATAAAGTTTCTGTCATATTGATCTAAACTCAGTATATTGTAATTCAAACATATATTTTCAAGTGATCATCATGCCTAGACCTAAGTTGAATAATAACGAATTAATTGCAAATGTGCATAAATACCTTACCATAGAAAGAGACAATGATGAACCTTTAGTCATTCTTATGTTTAAATCGGTTGTGACGCACTCGAGATAAGTGAAAGTAAGCTAAAAACTGTAATGAAGACTGTAAGAGATTCTCAAGAAGATCTTAGTGTGTCTGAGTATCACGAAGACAAGAAAGCAACTCGTAAACATTTTAGGAGCATTGACTTACCTGATAAAGAAACATTTGAAGTTCGCATTTTTTATCGAATGCGTGAAAACAATCAACAAGCCATTTTAGATACTTTACTGGGCAAAATAAGAGAAAGACAAGTTTCTGAAATTAAGAGGACTAGCCTTTGGAAAGTATTGAGACTTTTAGGATTTCAGAAAATCAAAAAAAAAATAATAGGTAACTTTTATGCGAAAGTAGTGGTGTGGTTGACAGAAGGATTAATTTTTTAAGATTCATATACTTAGATGAGTCATGGATATTTGCAAAGGGTGGAATTTAAAAGACTTTTCAGAAGTTACCACTTGCTACCAAAATCTCTCTCATTAGATTTATATGTATCTCTCTCATAGTTTCTACCTTATTATACGAAGTAGAGGCCTGGACACTTTCCGAAGCTTCTTTAAGAAAACTCGAGGCATTCAAGATGTGGTGTTACAGACGTATCTTAAAAATTTCATGGGTGGATCGTGTGACTAGTTGTTCTACATGGCATGTTAAGGTCCTATGTAGAATAGGCAAGGAATGCGAGATTATTAACACCATCAAAGATCGCAAACTAGAATATCTCTGCCATGTTATGAGGAATGAACAGAGATACGGCTTGTTGCAACGCATTCTTCAGGGCAAGGTATTTGGAAAGAGAAGACCAGGGAGAAGAAGAATATCTTGGCTTCAAAATCTGAAAACGTGGTTTAATACATCGACAACCGGACTATTCAGAATAGCAGCAAGCAAAGTTAGGATAGCCATGTTGATCGCCAACATCCGGAACGGATAGGCACCGTAAGAAGAAGAAGAAGGAATTTAAAAAAGTTGGCAATACCACTGCATAAAATCAATAAGACTTACAAATAGCGAAGGTAAAAGACACATCCCAAGGAAGAGTGTTTAAATATTATACTAAAATAGTTCTCCCCATCTTTCCCTATCTTGAGCTGTTCTCTGCCATGTGGGACCTCCTTGTTTTCTGATGTCATCTTTTCACCTCATCTGTGGTCTGCCTCTTGATCTCTTTGCATTGTATGGACGCCACTTTCCGATGGCATTGTTCCATCGTCCGTCTTGGAGACGTTCATTTTGTCCAGCCCATTTCCATTTCTGTTTTGCTGCTTGTTCTATCGCGTCTACTGTCTTTGTTCTGGTTCTGATCCACTGGTTACGTTTTCTATCTATAAGTGATACACCCAACATTTGTCTCTCCATCGCTCTTTGTGCCTTACTTATTCTATCCAAATTGGCCTGTGTAAATGTCCATGTCTGTGCTCCGTAGGTGAGCACCGGTATGATACAGGAGTTATATATCTTGCTTCGTAAGTATAGAGGGATTGTTTGATTTTTTAGAACGTAAGAAAGTTTGCCGAACGCTGCCCATCCCATTCTTACTCGTCTCGATATTGCGGCTGTTTGATTTTCTCTATTAGCTCTGATTGCTTGTACTAGATAGATATACTCATTTACCTGTTCTATTTCTTTTGTTTTTTTTTTATTGCCTCTTGGTCTTCCGTGTTTGTCATTACTTTTGTTTTGTTGAAGGTAATTTTTAGGGCTTTTTGCAGTGATTTTTCATGAAGTTCATTTAGCATTAATTCCAGTTCTTGTCGTTCCGAGGAGATCAGGAGTATATCATCCGCATATCTAAGGTGATTTAGGTATTTTCCGTTAATACATATTCCTCTGTCTTCCCAATCTGTTGATTTTATTATGTCTTTGAGGGTCAAGGTAAACAGTTTAGGTGAAATTATATCGCCTTGTCGGACTCCTCGTTTAACTTTTATATTATCCGTTATTAATTTGTCGTCCAGAATTACGGTCATGGTTGCGTTTTGGTAAATATCATGTATCAATTGTCGGTATCTTGAATCTATTCTACTATTGACCAGAGCTTCTTCAACCGCCCAGTGTTCAATGCTGTCGAAAGCCTTTTCATAATCTACGAATGCTAAGTACAGCGGAAGGTTGTATTCATTGGTTTTCTCAATTAAGATTTTAAGCGTATGTAGATGGTCGATTGTGCTGTATCCTTTTCTGAATCCGGCCTGTTCCACTGGTTGGTAGTTATCAAGTTTATAGGTTAGTCGGTTGTTTATTATTCTTGTGAAGGTTTTATATAGTTGTGACAAAAGGGAAATAGGACGGTAGTTGTTTAGATCTGTTCGGTCTCCTTTCTTATGTATTAAGATTGTGTTGGCATTTCTCCATTGTTTGGGTATTTTACCTTCAAACAGACATTTGTTGAACAGTATTTTTAGCATTTTTTTATCGTGTCTCCTCCTTCTTTTAGCAGTTCCGCCAGTATTTTGTCCTCACCGGCCGCTTTATTTCTTTTCATGTCGTTTATGGATTTTTCGATTTCATCTTCAGTTATTTCTGGTAATACCTCTGAGCCAACATTTTTTATTTTCCTCGTGAGATTCTGTTTAGATGATAGTGGTGGGTCATTTTTAGAACTGTATAGGTCTGTGTAATATCTTTCTGTGATCTTCCTAGATCTCTTTCTTCATTGTTGCCAGCTTTAAGCATGATTAGTTTTCTTTTTCCTATATTTGTCTTCATTGTTTTTAAACTTTTGTTCTTCTCTATGATTTTCTTAATGCGGTCTTCTTGGTATTTCTTTAAATCTTCCTTTATCTGTTTTCTTATGGTTTTATTCAGTTCGGTATACTCCACTGTATTTCTTTTGTTATCGTTCAGTATTTGTCGTCGTTTTTTTAGCATATCTTGTGATTTAGCGCCAATTTTTAGTTGTTTTGGCTTCTGTTGATTAGCAATCTTCAGGCCTGCTTCGTATCTTCAGGCCTGTTTTGTAATGCATTTCACTATTTATTTCTGTGGTTATATTAAATTCTTATTCTAAAATAAGACTACAACAGAGAATAGATTGAAATTTTGTTGTAGAAGGTTGATAACTGGCTTTGTATGATAAAATACACAGTTGCTTAAAAATAATCGGATTTTATTTAAATCATCAAGGAAAGGAAAACCTTAAAAATATTTATACTATCGACTGAACTATATAACGCTTTAGTACAAACAGTGACATCTTAATTTATTTTATAAAACCAATTTCTCCATCTATCGCTTAGGAGTGCGTCGTAGAAATGCTCGAGTGCAATTCTGTGTGAAATACTTAACGATAATTCATTGTGATTTGACTAAGAGGGTCTGGCTTTGACGGAAAATTTGAATCCGACATGCATTATACGCTACAGCTGATCTCTTGACGTAATGAATTAAGACGTCCTTATGTTTCTGACTGATAAAATGATTGATGCAATTCGGAAACGGTTGCAAATTTCGAAGAGAAGACGAGAAAAGACCAGTTCGATATAGACTATGTTACGTGTAATTATGGAATTTGGTATTTTTATATTATCGTATATAAAATACTTAAAACAACTTCCCTCTTATTTTCTATTTCAACTGAGCCTGGTTTAAACATACTAATGTGTCTTTATCTTATTTTTTTTGGGAATTATCAAGTAATTTGTTTTTTTTTTTATTTCAGACGAACCTTTTACAATCTTTGCTCCACAAAATGCAGCAACGAAGCGTGCGGAAAAACTTCTTCAACAACCAGAGCTTATTAAAAAGCTACTTATGGACCACGTGGTTCTGGGATCACTTATCGACTTAACCAATGTAACAAGCAATGTTTCCTTAAAAACGCTTTCTGGTAAAATGATTACTGTAAAGTATTCTAAGGAACATGGTCTAACGGCAAATAATGCCAATGTAGTGGAAAGAAAAGTCACGGTACCAAATGGTAAGTATAACATTTATAATATATAAGATCGGTGTCAAAACATCCGAACAACAGTTCCACCCGTTTCATGTTTTCTTAATTCTTCTTTGCTTCTTATGGTTTAGTGGTTAGTTTCGACAATGGTCGACGTCTATTCTTTGTTGTTTATAAATGGACATATAGAATTTGCTAGTTAATTAATTAAAGCAGTAACAATTCAACTTATATGGTTGTCAATATAATAACAGTCAATCCGTACAACTCAACACAGTTATAAGCATAAGATTCGACCATTTACTTTTTTATTCTAATTATCGTTGTAAGAAATATCAGAATCCAGATTAGGAACTAAATAATAGTACATTGTTTACCGGGTAGGAAAAGCTTAACATTCCTGGACGACTGTGAAGATTTCTAAGTCGAGGCGCAAGCCGAGACTTAGCAACACAGAGTCCAGGAATGTGGCTTTTCCTACGAGGTAAACATACTATTTTTCCGCAAATCGTTTAAAATTCGACAGATATTGATTGATTTAAAAAAAACACGATAATTTTATTCCCAAATAAATGGTGCTTTGAAATTCCTAATAAAATTACTTGGGTTCTATGGAAACGTATTGAGGTTGAATTGTCAAACTTGACGCTTATAAATTTAATTGCTGGTGTTCTCGAAAGTAAAATGATAAGTGATGATGAAATTTCCATTCCTGGGACTCCTCCAGAGCTGGTTGAGGCAGTGAATACTGCTTCATTAGAATTATTGCCAAAGAAATCAAGAGAAAAGTACGAAAATGCATACAGACCTTTTATGGATATTCGCATGAGTAAAAATACGAGTTCTTTCTCAGAAAATGTTGTAATGGCATACTTCCTAGACCTTTGTTTAAAGATGAAATTTTCAACATTATGGGCCAATTATTCAATGCTGAAGTCAACCCTTGCACTTAAACACAATGTAGATATATCTACATACTCAAAACTTCGTTCTTTAGTGAAACGGCAAGCTCAAGGTTATAGGGCAAAGAAATCTAAGATTTTAACGAAGGAAGAAATTGAAAAATTTATCCAGGAAGCTCCAGATAAAGAAAATTTAATGATTAAGGTAATTTACAAGGTTTTAATTTCTATTTAGATTATAGCTTTATTTATTTTTTAAGTGGCTGTAATATTTGGTATTTCTGGGGCCTGTAGAATGGATGAGTTAGTCCGAATGACTGTACACGATATAGAAGACTTAGAATCTAAGCTTTTAATCAGCATACCTGATTCGAAAACCAACAAACCAAGATCATTTGTAATTAACCAGATCTACTTGAATGTTTATCGAAAGTATGTTTCGTTAAGACCAAAAAATATGAACAGTGACCGATTTTTCTTTAAATATCAAAGCGGAAAGGGTTGTAGACAAGTGGTAGGAATTCATCAATTTAGAAAAATGCCCAAAATAATTGCTACTTATTTGAACTTGGTAAATCCGACAGAATATACTGGTCACTGCTTTCGTCGGTCTTCTGCAACAATATTGGTTGACTCTGGTGCCGACATAACTAGTTTAAAGAGGCATGGCGGATGGAAGTCATCAAACGTTGCTGAAGGATATATCGAAGAATCGCTTAACAATAAGGTTGAGGTGGCAAATAAAATTTTCACAGTACAAAATATTCAACAAAATGACACTTCCACCCTGCATGTTGTCCAAAATGTTTCTCATAGTTCTAAGAGTGTTCCTCCAATGTTCAATAATTGTACTAACTGTCAAATTACTGTAAATGTAACAAATTGATCTTAAAAATGTATTCAGCAATGACTTGATGTTTTCAAAATATAAATTAATTCCTTATAAGCAATGTGTTTTCTATCATTTATGTAGAACACTAACAACTGTACGGAAATATCATTTCCTTACAGTAAGGAAATGACATTTCCTTACAGTAAGGAAGTCCTGACTTTTTCTTCAAGAAATTTTGACAGTAATGTCAAAATTTCCTGGCGATTTGCGGAAAATGAATTTTGTTTGACGACAAGAGAAAGATTCTCTTTGATCCTCTTGGCAGTCACCGTTTTACTTATGTAACGACGCGTTTTACTCAGATGATAGATAGATAGATAGGTTTATTAACAATTTTTACATAGTAAACACTACATGTCATGTCACAATAAAAATAAGTCACTTTTGTATACTAAGAACTAAGAAATAATACAAGAACACATAATAAAACATATAAGTGAAAATTAGGTATATAAAATTATAAAAAAAAAGAAACAATTCAGTAAGGCGTAATATAGTTTTCATAAAAAACGACCACACTAGGAGCTCAAACAAACAAATTCCTGTATACTATAGAAACAGTGTTCCAGCAGGAAGTGTTTTGCTAGTTTATAAAATTGTTTAGAATTCATTGCCTTAATATCAATATTTTTGTTAAGGTTTAAAAAACAATTATACAGATTATAATCTATTGTATTAAGTTGTATAACACACGATCTGAAATATGGTATAATGATATGACTTTTATTTCTTGTATTGTAATGATGTTGATTAGCATATGTTTTTACATCTTGTATATTATTATGAACAGTTAACAAAGTTTCCAATATATATATTGAAGGTAAAGGAATAATGCCATACTTTGTAAAAAAGGGTTTACAGCTGGCGCGAAATTCTGCTGACTCAATAATTCGGATTGCTGCTTTTTGAAAAGTAAAAACTTTATATGCATAGGACGAGTTTCCCCGAAGAAGTATGCAATATGTCAGGATACACAGAAGTAGCCAATCTGCGCATAGCAAAAATCTGTGAGGTGAGCCTCTTACACAATCGTTCAATATGGTGGGACCAGTTCAACCTTGTATCCATAGTAACACCTAGTAACTTTACTAGTTCAGATGGTGTAACCCGTCTATCAGAGCTAAATACTATTTTCTGGGTTTTCTGCTCGTTTAACTTAAGTTTGTTACAGTTAAACCAAGATTTAGATTTTTCTAATTTTTTCTGACTGTAATCAGTATTACCTCTACATAATAAGGTTGTGTCATCTGCAAAAAGAACACAGTTGGTGTTATTCAATGTACTTGGTAAATGATTTATATATATATCAAGAAGAGCAGAGGTCCCAAAATTGATCCTTGTGGTACTCCGGTTGAAACGGATACTCAGTTTCCGTGCCCGGAACACCAACAGCTTTAAATTTCGTATTTTCAATGGTTGGCTGCGTAGATAGCCCTGTCATTCGCTAAAACTAGCTGCCATCTTTGTGCATGATAGTAGATGGTGATTTTTCTGAACCGCGCCATAGGTTTCGTCAGGTATTGTTTTCGCAGGTATAGTCCTTCTGGTATCCCCATTTTTCAGGTTACTAGCACAACATGAAACACCAGTTCTTAGCCTGTTTAGCTCTTTCCATGTGGAACAGGGCAAATTGTGTCCAAGTTTGTTAAAAAAGATGTAGGGATCTACGTTTAAGTAGGAACCAAAACTTTAAGATAATATCCATACAAGAGAAACTATGGAACTATTAATAGTAAATAGAAATGTAGAAGGCCGAAAACCAACAAGATGAGCAGTCCAAATATAGACTGGTGGGAAAATTTTTATACGAAGTCGTCCATCTGGCACCAGATCGCAGCCAATGGAGGCAGCAAGCTAACAATATTTAGCGTCAACACGCCTTAACAATGTATCATTGAATGCAGAGAGGAAGGATGTATATTATTACTCCACTCTGTCTGTCTTTTACAGAGTCATACTTTATTTAGAGCTTCCTCTTCATATATACTACTAACTACACTTAATACCCAAAAAACTGTTTTTAATTAGTTAAGATTTAAAAGTCATATAGTTAAAAACTTCGTTATGTATTCTGTAAAATTAGGAAGTTGCTCAAATAATTCTAAATAGGGGTAAAGTAGTTTAAACAGGTAGCATATTTCTGGGAAAATGTAAACGGCGTTAGGAGAGACAAGAAAAGCTAACAGGAGGAAATAAAAAAGCAATGTATTAATCGTCATCACCTTTGGCTCGACAATCCTCTGTGAATCCTGGCCTGCTCTAAAGATTCGTCGCCATTCTCTTCGATTTCTAACATTTTAGATTATCTTATTTTCTTTAGATTTTTTTAAGAAAGCAAAAAATTGTAATAAAATTAGGCTACACTTTTTAGTTACTAGTATTTTTGTCACTGAATTAAGAGTCCATTTTCTTATAAATTAGAAAATTTTCAATCTATTTGAGGTCGTCCCGAATCATATGCGAGAAGCACCTCATATTACTATCAACCAGTTATCATGAGGCGATATTTGGGTGTACCTTTAGTCTTAAAGGTAGGTGCTTCTCTGTTACCTATGATGATGAACACTTGCACTTCTTTCACCACATTACAGGTTCTTTTCCTACTTCCCTGCTTCTATATTCAGAGTATTAACCGGTAAGAGGTGGACTTTTAGCCCATTCCACTGCGACTTTTTCAGATCTATTGTGGTTTTCTAGTCAAGATGCCATTCTCTAGCCTGACTTTATTTATAAAGTCTAGTACCTTCCAGACTGTAGTTTCAATGTATCTATTTGCCGGTGGATTTTCTTCTCCTAATGCAACGAACTGTATATTTGCCAGACTATCACACTGACATAGAATCTTCTTTGAGGCGACATAATCTGCACAAGTCATTATTTGATAATCCCATCAGATTTAAGTGCCTATTCAGCTTACATCAGTGACTCCCAGTTCGGGTTTAGGCAAGGTTTAGGAACACGAGAAGCAATAGTAGCAACACAGGTGCTGGTCCAAAATTGTTACGATCAGAAGAAGGATGTGTTCCTATGCTTTTTAGATTACCAAAAAGCGTTTGATCGTGTCCAACACCATAAGTTAATTCAGATCCTCAAAAAGTTTATATAGACCAAAAAGACATAAGATGCATTGAAAACTTGTACTGGCATCAAACGGCACAGTTAAAAATAGACAATTCTATATCCAAACCCATACATATAAGAAGGGGCGTTCGACAGGGATGTGTGCTTTCCCCTCTTTTATTTAACAATTATTCAGAAGCCATATTTCAAGAGTCTTTGGAGGATGCAAAGATGGGAATCAAAGTGAATGGAGTATTGATCAACAGCATACGATATGCTGATGATGGTGTTTTAATTTGTGACAACATAGTCGATCTTCAACAACTTGTCACTATAATCGGTGAATACAGTAAGCGAATGGGATTAGAGATTAATACCAAAAAAACCAAATTTATGATCATCTCCAGAAACTTGGATGCACTTTAAAACTCCACCATAACACTGAATACTAAGTCCATTGAAAGAGTCAGTAAATTTAAATACCTGGGATCGTGTCTTTTTGAAGACTGGGCATCGGACAGGGAAGTAAAATGTCGCATTGAGCAAGCTCGACAAGCTTTCGTAAAATTCAAGAAGGTACTGACTTGTTCAGAGTTCGATCTTCAACTGAGACTAAGGTTTACTAAGTGCTACGTGTGGTCAGTGCTGCTATATGGCGTAGAGGGCTGGACACTCAAAACAAGGGATATAAACAGATTAGAAGCCTTCGATATGTGGCTCTATCGCCGTATCCTAAAAATACCATGGACAGCGAAAATCATAAATATAGATGTCCTTAAAAGAATAAACCAAGAACGCCAACTTTTCGAAACCATCAAGAAAAGGAAAACGGCGTATCTAGGTCACATCATGCGAAATGAAAAATACCAGTTCCTCCAACTTATAATCGAGGGTAAAATTGAAGGCAAGAGAGGAATGGGACGCAAGAAAATGTCCTGGCTCCAAAACATAAGGCAATGGACAGAGATTACTGACATACAATCCCTAATATATATTGCAAGAAATAGAGAATTAATGGAAAATGTGATCGCTAACATCCATTAGTGGATTTGCATCTGAAGAAGAAGAAGAAGAGCATTGATTGTTTCTCTTGTTTACACTAGTCGTCAACTATATTTAGAGCTGCTTGCATTATCTCATACACCATCTGGGCAAACCTACCCCTCACAACAATTACTATATCGTTACCATCTCCTAGACAGTGAAGTATCCCTACGGGGTAAAGCTAATTTCTAAACAGATTACAGTTGCTGATTCCTAAATAAATTCATTTTACGGATGTTCTTGCCAGATAATACATACCAGTTAACTAAGTCAAGTAAAAATATAAATAAAAAAAATTTGTTTTTTAATGGTGTAACTTATTTAGAAACTATTTATCTGTCCTTTCGCATCGCTAAATAAAAACTATACAATCTAAATTAGTAGCTTTAATTATATAATGCCACTATTTATTTTTCCCTTCAAACCAACACCGAACGAAGCCGCAAAAAATTTCAATTAACTTTTTCTCTGCTTATTTGCAGGTTTATTAGTCGTCCTGGACGGTTACTTGTTCTCGTTTACGGAAGAACAAGAAATAAAAGAAAAGAACACTTCCTCGACGTCCACGTCCCAAGAAAAGCTGATGGACGTATCGGCCACATTTTCCTCAACGTCCAACGAAGGCAATAAAAATCAATCGAACACTACGTTCGTGGAAAACATTATGGAAGTACTTTCGTTCCTCAAGAGCGGCGTTAGGGTATTTCAACACTTCTTATCAAGATCCAACGTTTCCAAGTTGCTACATCGAGGTAGGTAATTGAAATTTAATCTGATTTTACTTTATTTATTGATTTGAGCTTGTTTGGCTATACAGTGCCGTAAATATTTAAACTACTCTGGGAATTTAGTTTTTTGTTAAAATCTGGAAAATCCTTTGTAAATATTTTTTGTTTTAACAAAGGATTTTTGATTTTTAGGAAAGGCTATAGCGGGATAAGATGGTCAAAATTGCACCATGCTCGATTTAGTGTTGGGCCTGGCCACTCGAAAGGACATAATTAAAAACTCACTCAGTTAAAGTTTCAAGTCCTTAGGTGCCTCTGGGGGTTCGCTATGGGAAAAAACGTATTTAAAGAAAAAAAATTTTTTTTTAGACGCTGTATTGCTGCAAAAAATCTAAAAAAATTCATGAAAGCGTAGTTTAATAATACAAGACTAACTGATTTTATTCAGATTTTTCTCTTGAAAACTGAGGCAAGGAAAAATATTTGAAATTTTCATTAATATTTTAGATTATGTCGGAAGTTTTTCGCCAACTTTAAAACAATGTTTTTTTATGGGTTTTTTTTCGTTCTTTCGAATGGCATAGGTATCATTATCATTTTCAACGAGGAAAATGCCTAAAAATCGAAAAAACTGCTATTTTGTCATTTTTCTGAAGCACCCCCACCCCTTAACAATAAATTGTATGGGCCTAGGAACAAAACAAAAAAAAATAAATATTACATAGAAAGCAAACAATTTATTTATACTACCATAAGATACAATAATATCAGTTTTTTTTTTAATAAAAAAATATTAATAAAATAAACATAAATTAGGTTTTTAGTGAGATGGATGACTCATAACCTTAACAACATACATCTAAATTAATGATAATTCATATTTTTTATGTATTTTTACCTTTACAATCGAAACAAGCTATTAAAACTATTATTTTTTTCCTACAGCATGCTAAAAAAAACGAAAAATCCCGTTATGTATCTTCCCCTTTACAATCAAAATCAGTTATTCAAAGCATTAGTTTTATCTCGCAACTTTCTGAAAAACCGAAAAAACCCCGTTATCTCCATGTTTTTACTACATAACCTCAAAAGACTCTGAAAAATGAATCGTGAATTAGAACGCACTTGTACACTCAAAAGTTGTGGAATTAAAAGCTAGCGAATATATCTACATATATACGTAATATTATATCACAATGTACATGCATTTATACACAAACGCATATCTATATATTATTATTATTATTATTATTATATAACAAATAAGGGCAGAGGAGCGAGCTCCTATTATGCCCAAAAAGCAAAAATGAACAAAAATAAAATATATCCTTATAAAACTAATACTAATTATAAAGTTAAGTACAGTTAAACAAATTAACAAAAATTGAATTGTGACACAATAAATAAATAAATAATGCTGTCCGAGAAAAAATATCCTATCCTATAAAAAAAATAAAGTTCTGTCAAGTTTATTTTTAAAGATGTTAACACTAGCTGCCGATATGGTGTCATGATCCAAATTGTTCCAGATATTAAAGATTCTGTTTGGCAAGAAGTTCGCCCTGGACCTTGCAGTAGTTTGTTCCCTCTTTAATTTGTATCGATGGCCTCTTAATCTATCGTCTTCATTCAAAGTGAATATGTTGTTTAGGTTCCCAAAATTATGTTTTAAAATACGGAAGGACATAATTAAGTCACCTCGAAGACGTCGCTGCTCGAATGTCGTAAGATGAGCCATGAATAGTCTATCTTCATAGTTAGGTCTTACACGGCCGTATGCCAGTCTTGTGGCTTTACGCTGAACGTTTTCAAGTAGGATTTTATCGCGACTAAGATCTGGATTCCACACTGGTCCGGCAAACTCAAGAATAGGTCTAACGTATATTGAGTAAAGTTTACTAACAGAGGTTAGAGATATGCGTGTAAAACATTTACGGATCAAAAACAGTTTCGAGTTAGCACGTTTACACACCGACACTATGTGATCAGACCAATTTAAGTCACTATTAATTATCACTCCGAGATCGTTGTGTGAGGTTACAGAGTTTAAAGGATGTCCATTAATAAAGTACGGCAGTGATGGGTTATTTTTGCCGATATGTAAAACAACGCATTTTTCAATGTTAAGCGGAAGTAACCATTCTGAGGACCATTTGAATATTGCGTCAAGATCTTGTTGAAGAATATGTTGGTTAATAGTTGGATTCACATATAACTTCGTGTCATCAGCGTAAATGGAAACCTTACTGGATACAATGAGCGGAAGATCACTAGTGTAGACACAAAAAAGTAGCGGTCCAAGTACTGATCCTTGTGGAACTCCACTCTTGACTGGCTTATCTAGTGAATGGTCTTTCCCAACACGAACCCTGAAGTATCTGTCGGATAGAAAATCTTGTATCCAAATGTTTAACTTTCCGCGGATACCATAGTGATCCAATTTAGCTAGTAATCGACGTTTTGGAACACGATCGAAAGCTTTGGAGAAGTCTAAGTAAACTACATCGACAGGATTCCGATTGTTTAAAGATAATGACCAATCATTTACACAATGAAGTAAGTTTGTGATCGTTGAACGACCTTTGATAAATCCATGCTGTTGGTGAGGGATGACATTTTCTTGAAGAAGGAACTCGGACATAGCTTCCGAAATAATCGATTCCATGACCTTGCCGACAATAGGAACCAGGCTGATTGGACGATAATTATTGCAATCAAGTTTATTACCTTTCTTGAATACAGGAGTAACAGAAGCCAATTTCCAGGACGAGGGGAGGGAACCTTGATTAAAAGAAGCAGTCATTATGAGAGATATAGGGATGGCGACAGAATCTGCACATTGTTTGAGGAAAAAAGAGGTGAGTCCGTCTAATCCAGGTGATGAATTATTTCGCAGTTTCCTTAAATGATGTTTAATTTCATCCGGTGTGAAAGATATATTTTCAAGAGTTTTAGACAAACGAGGGCACATTATTTGAGGAATGGTATCGTTAGATTCATCTGTAAAAACTTGAGAAAAGAATAACGATAAACATTCCGAAGATTCGTTATTCGAAGAACATAAAGACCCATCAGCTTTTTGAAGCAATGGTATGGAAACTTTAGAAGATAAAGATGTACGAATGTACCGATAAACTTTTTTACTATTACCACTTGCAATGATAGATTCTTCAAAGTCTGTTCTTAACTTTAGCAAAGATTGTTTGACTCGGTTAGAAAAATTACGGTGGGCGAAAAAATCATCAGGGGAACTAGTGAGTTTATATCTTCGCCAAACCTTTCGCTTATGTCGAATTAAATGAGTAGCTGAGAGGTTAATCCAAGGTTTTAGTCGATTTCTATATACCTGCCGTTCGGTTGTATGATCAGAAATTGTTGTAATAGCAGTATGAAGAAAAGAGTCACACATTGACGATGGATCAGAGTGATTAGAAAAAATAGATTGCCAGTTTAACTGGGATAAAACTGAATTTACATCAATGAAATTAGTAGTGGCATACGTTACGAAATTATTTTTGCAAGGCGGTGTTAAACTAAATTGAATGTGAGCAGTAATAAGCGAGTGGTCAGAAAGACCCACAGGAGAGGACACTTCAAGTGAAGAAATTAATTCATCGTCATTTGTGAAAAATAAGTCTAAAATTGAAGGATTATTGTTGGCTCTAAACCTTGTAGGTTCAGTTATCAGTTGTACTAAATTTGAGTTCATGATAAAGTTTTTAAACAAATTTTGGGAATTGATAGTATCAGTTTTGGAAATAATGGGCCAGCTTATTTCTGGAAAATTGAAATCTCCAACAACAATGAGATTTTCAAGGGATGATAATTCCTCAAGTTTGTTAATAAGCATATTGTCCTGAGTAAGTACTGTATCAGGAGTTCGGTATATGCAAACTATATTAAATATGAAAGAGTTATTAGTAATAAGTAGTTTATTCGTCTTCCGGGTTTGGACCGTGTCATTTGTGAGTGACCCAAAAGTGGGTTCATCTCGACGTTTCGCTACAATTATATGTAGCTTCTTCAGGAGAAACAAAGAAAAAGAAAAAAGAAAACAAAGGAACAGGAAGATGGGTAGTTAGCAACGGTAACTCAGTTACTCAACGCAACCAGAGGCGAATACTAACTACCAAGATGGGCATTTGGTCACAGTAACTCAACTACTCAACGCAGCCAGAGGTGAAAACCAAATGCCAGGACAGGGATTCACGTCCAACAGCTCAGAACACTAACGCGTCGAGAGGCGGGGAGTGAATTCGGGATTCACTCCCCGCCTCTCGACGCGTTAGTGTTCTGAGCTGTTGGACGTGAATCCCTGTCCTGGCATTTGGTTTTCACCTCTGGCTGCGTTGAGTAGTTGAGTTACTGTGACCAAATGCCCATCTTGGTAGTTAGTATTCACCTCTGGTTGCGTTGAGTAACTGAGTTACCGTTGCTAACTACCCATCTTCCTGTTCCTTTGTTTTCTTTTTTCTTTTTCTTTGTTTCTCCTGAAGAAGCTACATATAATTGTAGCGAAACGTCGAGATGAACCCACTTTTGGGTCACTCACAAATGACACGGTCCAAACCCGGAAGACGAATAAACCATAATTCTGACTCTGGCCGTGGAAGCCTACGATTTCATTAGTAATAAGTAAGTGAATAATTTCTATACCGGGTACGTCTATTGTTTTATTACTGATAGAAAAAGTGTTGGTAATTTCATTTGCTAAATAGATGCATACTCCTCCCCCTCGACGAGTACCTCTGTCTCTACGAAATATAGTAAAATTATCAATGTTTACAATAGCATCGGGAATAGAAGAATTAAGCCACGTTTCTGTTAGGAGAATAATGTGAGGTTTTAAAAGTTGAACAGTACTTATAAATTCATTAAATTTGGACATAAGAGAGTTTAGATTAGTATACATAAGAAGCCAATCCGTAAATTTTAGTGCAGAAGAATTATGAGCGAAATTTCATTATCTTTGGACAGCCATTCACATATTTAATCGTAAGGTCATTTTCTCCATTATTTTTACG